TACACACATATATATATATATATTAGTAGTACCATTTAATATTTAAGTAAAAGAGACAAACCAAAACTTTGTCGTTAAAAATTAGTTTAACAGACAAGATTTCCTCTTGCTCTGAACAGGAAAATTGAATTCAACATTTGGATATAATATTACAAGTTTAAAACATACGCACTGTTTGATTTAAAACAATAATGGTTACTGGGATCAAAGGATTTTGGCAACACTTACCAATCGCATCATCTTTGTGGTGATTGAATGTAGAATCAACAGATATCTTAATAAGGAAATTTGACCAACAACAGTACCTCGATACACACTCTGGAAACTCTTCTGGCTTTTATACTCTCTTGTTCATGGTCAATTCTCAGAAGTAAACCATAAATGTCCTTCCTAGCTTTGTCACCGAGGGTCATTAAAAAAGATGTCCTTGCAGAAGAACCAAACATTTTGATCCTCACGTCATCCAATCCCCCCCCCAAGACTCCACCCATAGCCTGTACCTGTTGGAATTTTCATGAATACGCCTTCTGAAATATCAGATCATCTTAGTGATAGTTTAGCCTGAGGTTCTAGAAGCTATATGTGATGATACAAAGTTTGTTAATTTCTTTAAGCTGGATATCTAAGCACAGAAAAGATGTTTCTTAATTGGTGGCTCTAACACTACGTCATTAAATTCCTATGCTTCTTTTACATATTTCCCTGAACTGAACCAGTAGTAAACCTTTAAACAAGACGTTTATTAAATAGACGGTAAACCTGTGAACATGATACTCTATAAATTAATGTTAAATCTTGACTTTTTTTTATCTTCTGTAAGTTAGCTTTGTAGTTTTGTAAAACAAAATATGCCGTCAACTTGCAACACATATTAATAGGATTAAGAATGTCGTTTTTTTTTTATTTTTGACCTGCTTTTTTACGAATGTTTTTAAATCAAACTTGTAGACAACGTTCACTTGGAACTTATGTAAATATTAGTCTACGTTTTGTACAATTTTACCGCATATCATTTCATCCCTTGAATGTGTTTTTATTTTTAGATTTTTGTAAATGAATATATACATATTTTATTTAGTTCCAAAAATGTCAGCGTTAGTTTTTATTTTTGTTGTTAAGTATTGTAAAATTATTTAATTTCCGCTTCAGTGTATCATAAGTATCTTAGTTAATTAAATCTGTGTAATAACAAAACACTTAATGATGTTTGTTTCTGAAAAGGAAACAAATAAATGTACACGTAAGTGAACTTATTTGTATGTTTATGATCTGTGAACTTAATAACAAATAGAATTTTTATCTTATGGTTGTTATTTAATATACTATCGACTTCTACAGTAGATTTATTAAAAATGTATATGATTATATCGTTCTATGAAATACCAATCGTCTATTAAATCTCTTTATACATATTAATACGTTAAACACTAATTACTTTAGCAATGGCTAAACCAGTGTCATACGATGTGTGACCACAAGTAAAGAAAGTGTGACGGATTCTAGCGTTGTAAGTCCGCAGACATACCGCTGTGCTACTGAGGGGCTGTAATAGATGAAACCATTATGAAAACATCGATACTAGCTTTATATAAACACGTTCTCAAACTAGTCCTAACCTCGTGTATTCTCAATACTCCTCAGCTTAACTTTCAAAATATGTCAACTAGCTACAACATGATATAGATAATGCTTAAGTTTATTGTTAGTTACTTCTCATCATCTTGGCAGTGTCTGATATTATCGAGCACAATATCATAAATTCTTGCTCTAATCCTAGCCTCAAGTCTTTAATGAGATGAGTTTGATTTGCATCTTTCGAAACATATTACTTTAGTGTACGTTTCATATTTCATTAACTCAGTTTTTACGAGTGAAAGTCCATGATTCCGAAGGTAAACATCATTTCAAGGTGCATATTTTGTAGTTTCTAGCTTTACTCATGGTGGCCTATATAAGAAACTTGCTTGTCAATTGGGTTTCGATACCCGTGGTGGGCAGAGCACAGATAGCCCATTGTGTAGCTTTGTGCTTAATTACAAACAAACATCTATTACAGCGTAGCATTCTTTGATGTAATATCTGTAAAGAAATTTTCTTTAAAATTATGACACAAATTTCGGACAATATCTTTGTTGCTATTTTTATTTCGTTCAGTAAATGTGATAGACGTTGGCAAGATTTATACGATCATCAGCTTACACCGCTATTCATATGGTGTTCTACAGTAAAAACACAACAACCAAATATGGCAGAATACAAAAAGAATACTTTTTAAAACTTGAACAAGATGTTTTGATACAAAACAAGGAGATATCTGTGCATTTGTCTTCAAAGTAAATGTAAGATAACAAAAGACAGACAGTATCTAGCAAAGTAAATATTGGAAATTATTTCATGCGACTTAAGCAAATAGAATTAGAAAAAAAAATAAACGTTTTTAGCGACATCGATTGTGGGCCTTTTATCAATTTCGACCAGTAAATTATCTGGTGTTTTAAAACACGTCACATGTGCATGTGAAGTTATTTAAAAAATGAGGAAGAATAGTATGCTTAAAAGTTCTCTAGAAATTGTTAGTTAAAGTTTATTTCCCCAGTAAATTTATAAGGGCTTCTATAGATGGTAGAATTTGGAGGGAGACACATTTTAAAAGAACCATGAATATCAAAAAACGACAGAACCGGTCATTAGGTTTAATGACTTGCTATCAGGGCCTTCTCGGCCTCGAGGACTTTCTGTTGCTCCTTCAGAACCTTCTGTTCATCCATATTATGTTTATGAAGGGCAGCATTGTGGTGTAAAGCGGAGTAATAGTGACCAGGGTGGTAGTAACCAGTGTAGTAATGACCAGGGTAGTAGTAACCAGGGTGATAGTAACCATGGTGATAAGCAGTAGGATTCTTGGCAATTACTTCAAGCTCACGAGCTCTATGAAGCTGGAGATCCGGTACCTGTTGTAGGTTTATGTAATGGAGAGCTTGCTGCTGTAGAGCCTGCAGGTAGGCCGGGTCGTGTTGACCTTCTGGAACGTTGTAGGGGAAGATCCCCGCCAAAGAAACGGTGCAGACGCAAGCAAGGATTACCTTAGTAGAAAATACAAAACATTGTCATTGTAAAGTTTCATAAAGCAAGATTGTATTGAAAACTTTGAACCATCTATTCTGTAAAAATATATAAACTACCACCATCAAAGTGAAAGTAAAACAGTCGAACTTAATCAAAATCATTAAACATAAACTAAAGAAGAAAAACGAAACCAGTACTATAAACATACTCTCGTTCATTTTAACAGATTCCAACAGTTCATTATAGACAGAAGTGACAGTTTATTAATTTTATCTGTAGTCACTAATCTTTAACTACGTAAGTAAATTAGATCGTCTTTATACGTAAATATATATATATTAGTACTATGATGGAATTTACAATAAACTGTTTTCATCTATATTTGGGAGAAGAATCAAAACTTTGTGTTGAATATATATTTATTATATGATATTTTCTCTTAACATGAACAACTAGAAAACTGAATTCAAAATTTGAATACAATATGACAAGTTTATAAGGTACACATTGTGATATGTATAACAGTAATGTTTGCTAGCATCAAAGGATTTTGGCAACACTTACCAATCGCATCATCTTTGTGGTGATTGAATGTAGAATCAACAGCTACCTTAATAAGGAAATCTGTACCAACAACAGTACCTCGATACACACTCTGGAAACTCTTCTGGCTTTTATACTCTCTTGTTCACGGTCATTTCTCAGGAGTAAACCATAAATATCCTTCCTAGCTTTGTCAACGAGGGTTATTCAGGAAGATAACCTTGCAGAGGAACCAAACAAGTTGATCCTTACGTCAAGTTACACTTTTTGCAAGACTCCACCCATGGCCTGTACCTAGAGGATATTTTGTGAATAAACCATGTGAAATATCGGGCCACCGAAATAAAGATTTGACCTAGGTTCTCGAAGGCATATAGCTGGAACTATGGCAAATGTCTTTGTGGCTTAGGTTCGAAAAATAGTACGTATGGTGTTATAAAGTAAATTAGAATATTCAACATGTAATCCCGTACATCCTCTTGCTCTCAGCCTGTTCAAGTTAAGTCTTTATTTTTGGGTAACAAATACTACGATTTTAACAACATTCACTACCAATATTTACATTTGTGTTACATATACCATGAATATCAGCCACTACCAACCTCAGATCATCTAGAACAAGGCTAAGAAAGTCACCATCTCAAAACTTATAAAATAAAATCATATCTTGATGAATAACACCTGTAAGCTCACTACATTGAAACTTACAATATAAAGTTATGTCTTAGGAACAACGCTCGGCAATTTTTCCACTTTAAATACTCAACACATAACGTTATGCCATGATGAATAAAAATACGAAGCTCAAACATATAAGTGAAACTCATGTCTTGATGAACAACTCTGAGAAATATAGCCACTGTAAAATATTCAACACATAAAGTCATGGCTTGGTTCAACACATAAAGTCATGTCTTGGTAATCAACGCCAACAAACTCACCACTCAAAACTTAATAATATTTTTCGTGTGACTTTTTAAAGGATTGAAATATTGTTCTAAAACTACAACGAAATCTAGGTTATTTGATAACATGGTTCACTTTTACTTAAAACTTGAGTATTACATTTGTATTTTACATCTTGTTTTATAAATACATTTGTAAACAAATCATGTACATAATAATGCTTAGAAACGGCTTGAATGGGTAATAATGAAAAACGTTAATGTAAGTTTAACATCACAATAAATGTATAACGTTTCAACAAGGTTTTGTTCATCATCAGGTACAAGTAGTTTACACTGACTCATATGTATATATATATATATTTTTTTTTTCAGTATAGAACAAAGAGGTCACATGACCAGATATTATTGCACGACTTAGAAGAGATATGTTGTCACCCTGGGGTGTTGGTTTAGAGTAGGGTTGTTTTGTTCAATTAAGATGGATTCCTTGATTTTTTGCAAGTTTTTTCCAGCTTTATGAATCAAATGTCTTAAACATAGTTTCTCTATATCACTGGTTACCCAGCCAAATCAGTATCTCTTTATCACTGGTTACCCAACCAAATCAGTATCTCTTTATCACTGGTTACCCAGCCAAATCAGTATCTCTTTATCACTGGTAACCCCTTCATTATAGTATCTCTTTATCACTGGTAACATTTTGAGGTTTAGTATATCTTTATCAAAGGTAACCCATTGAACATGGCATCATTTCATAGCTGGTAACCCTTTGAATATAGTATATCTTTATCACTGGTAACCCTGTGAATATGTATCTCTTGATCATTGGAAACTCTTTAAACATAATATTTTGTTCTCAGC